GAATGTTGTTTATGTTGTGGAAGCATGCTGAATTGGTTGTGAGCTGAAGGATGAATGGGTCATGGCTTAAGAAAGTATATAGTAAGACTCTGGGAGAGTTGGATTCTTGGAGAAAGTGAATGGGTGAGTGTCAGGGCCTCGGGTATAAATGGTCGGGGGCTGGTACGTCACTAATTGAGTATCGAGGCCTCGGGTAGAAATGGTCAAGGGTCGATGCGAGGAGTCTTTTGGAAGGAAAGCTATTGGGACCTTGGGTAAAAAATGGTCAAGGGCCAATAGATGGTGAAGTCATCGGGGCCTTGGGTAAAAATGGTCGAGGGCCGATGCGATAGTGTCGGGGCTCTGGGTAAAAATGGTCAGGGGCCGACTCTACTCGAAGAAGTTAACTGTGGAGGGCTAGGATAACTATGATAAGCCTAGGGGTACTTGAGATGTTAGGGAGACTCGAGGTTGGTAACTAATTGGTTCATGGTTGTGGTTGTTGCCAAAACTCGTAGAATGTGTTTATGTTTGATTGCATATTGTGATGAAGAGCATGACTATGAATGTTTCATGATTTTGTTGAGCATGATGTGTGTGAGTGTTGGTGAGGGCTACTTATGGAGTATATTTATATACTCACCCCCTCCTCTGCAATTATTTTTTCAGGTGAAGGATTTGTTGGTGACCATGGTGAAGGGACGGAGGAGACGTGACGAGCAAGGACCATAAGCTGCGTAGTTACCTTTGCTTAGCTTAAGTTTTAGATGGTTAAGACCCTTTGTTTGGTCGATAGACTATTTGATCTTATCTGAATAATTGGGAGGTTCCCACTTGTTATTTATTTGATTTTATTTCGGGATAGGTGTTTATTTTAGTTTTCTTCATTCATTGAGTTTTTCCTAGTTGGAATAATAAACTTGCCTCGTGAGGTTGTCCACGGATGTTGTTGATCGATACTCTATGGAATTGATTTATTGTTAAGTTGATGAGAGGTGAAACTTGATTTTATATAATTATTGCACAGGGAGTTGACATCTCGTGTTTGGGGTTAAGTTTAAATAGTTGGGTAGTTAACGTGACCTAGACGTGTGTGGGAAATTCTGGGTCGTTACAGAAACCATCTATACGGTTGGATTCAAG